CCCCCTTAACCCCGGCAAAAGCTGAGCAGCCTTTGTGCTGCCGACCTACGTGAAGCGTTAGAACGATATCGCCTCGCCAGGCTGCGCACAGTCGACTGATAAATCTGAGAAGAGACGGAGAACTGGTGTTATCCGTGGAGACTTGAAGCAGAACTTTGACGTTCAAGTTGAGAGCTTCCTAAGCCGATGGCGCTACAAGAATACCCACGAAAGCTCCTCGGAGCTTTTCAAAGTCGACAAAGGAGACGAACGCTTTTGCAAGTCATTTCATACGAATAACGAAATAACATATCGAATCCAATTTGCGTGAAAATCGCCCTCATCGTGATGAATTGGAATTTAATTGCCCCACCTGTTGACGTTGGTGATGCGTTATTAACTATTTCTACATGTCAGCTGTTAATGTTGCAACGCATCATTAACTACCTCTACGGAACGTATCTACGACTGGATGTCCTCTATAGATCGTCTTTCCACCCACCTGCATCGTCCATCAAAACTGCTCCATTTCCGACGTTCAGCAGTTCGATAATTAAAAATCGCGTATTTTATCTATTTCGAGCCGATTCACCCAAAACATTTGTTTACGTATTGTATTTACGAAACTCGATCCTAATCGCCAAGCATCCTCAATTTGTCATCCTTCGTAACTCAAAAGTTATTTGTTTTCGGCTGTTGAGATATTTATAATATTTTTGAGTTAAATCAATAACATCTATCATTTGAAAAAAAAAAAAAAGCGGAGAATCTCGGAAGTATTTTGTAAATCGTGTCAATCTTCTCGTGGATCACATCGACGCGACTGAACCGTGTCGCAGGACAAACCTGAGAAGAATGTTAGTCTTAAACTCGTTGCCTAGATTCGCGACGACGTTGATAGATTCCGCGTAATCCCCGTACGTGCCGCGACTCAGCCGTGATCAGTCGTTCAGTCTCGCTAATTAATTTCGAATGGTGCGAAGAGAATCGCAGAGAGAAAATTTCCACTCTTCTCGCGTCACGGTGTCGTTCTGTCGCATTTCATTCCAGATATAGACACAGTGTATAAATACTATGACAGTGGCACCAACGATGTCGAGGTTTCTTCTTTGACAGCTCGTGATAATGATGGAACGGTACCATCGTAGACTCTCGGTCTGGACATTATTCGATCGCACGTGCGAGGCATTCTCAATAAAATGAATATAACAAAGTACAGGATTCACAATAAAATCACGTACCTATTGTCGCGACTTTATTTTCGGATCTCGAGAATATTCGTGTATATTTGTACCACGTGTATATTTGTATTTCGATACATCGAAGTGAAAATAGAAAACTGTCATGGTGGGATCAACCGTTGTGACAACACGACGAGAAGAGTTGATGATATTTCGTACGTCTTACCCCACTTTCTCAGTAGATACAGACATGTATTCTTCGGACAGGAATAGAACGACTTAGTCATCCCGAGTTTCTCCGGCAATGCCGAAAAGCTTTGGCCCGAGTTTTTCGTGGCAATTTCGGACGATGAGTCAATATCGTTATCGTGAATTGCAAACACGGCTTAATCGACGTATTAATTTCTCGTCAAACTAAAACGAGAGGAAAAGAGAAAGATAGAAAGGGAGAATGATGTTTTTCATAACAACGAACGATTGAAAAAATTCCCGCAATATCGCGAATGATCTCGATCATCCTTGCGATGGGAGGTTGATGCATTTTGTATTTTAATAGAGATTAATTTGTGACTCTGACGGGGGGCGTAAGATTTACATAATAATTTTATACGATAGGAGAGCGTGTCCCGTACTTCTCATGAGCCCGGTTATATTATATTTGGCGCGGTTATATGCAAATCGCGCGCGATCAAAATTGCAGATTACGTATTAGCGTGCGCCGGCTCGATTTACATCTTAAAAGCGGAGCATATCGCATTGTTTATGGTTGCTGGAACTATTTTCAGAAGCATTGCTTGGCGGATGTGTTAGTGGTTGTCGTAAATGATCCGTATTCCGAAAGACCGCGCTTAATCTTGCCGATGAGTTTGTCAAACGTATAACTTTATCGCAGCGAGGAACATTTGCAATAAGCTGAGCCGATCTCGATGAGACATACGCGTGTGTAACGACGTCAACGCGACGTATAACCGCGTCCGAACATTTCGATTTTCGCCGTTGGATACTGTCGCGTGTTTCATCGTAAATTTAGCATCTTCATCATTAGTAAGAAGCTCCTAGTAGCCGTTCGAAAAGCCACCTGTTGCCTTCTTCCTGAATTCTAACCCGATGGGCTCTATAATTATCGAGCAAAACGCGCACGGCAGGTGCGGAATTACAAGAAATAGCCGAAAATCACGTTATAATAATAACGAAAACGGGACGCGATATTAATAAAATTCGCGACAAACACGTGCTCGAACGCATCCCGTCTTCGGCGATTTGTGAAATTCAATTGAACGTACGCGATCTCGAAAGGATCCTTGTCCTGCGAAGAATCGATAAGAGATCGAAAAGTTAAGGTGGTTCGCTCACTAAGTGTTGTATTTCCAGTAGCGAATCAAGGAGGACTTTCATAAATTTATTATTTATCGAGCAAAATTACGTTTCTATTACATTTATCTTATTACCCGAATAATAAATATTGATTTGAAACGAAGTTGCATATATATACCGAATATTACAGATACGAAAATATTACTTTCTTTTTCTTATTAATATTATATTTATGCATCAGTTGATCGAGTAAATTTCTATCTTATACAGAAATGTGTCAAATTAAAAGAGAATTTTTGTATTATGAGGTTTCTACATATTTATGTGAATATATAAGTTTATAATGAAATATTTGGGAAACGATACGATAAAGATTATTGAAATTTCTTTTACACACCCTTCTAGTTCGATTAACTTTTGCGTCATGTACATATTATAGGTTTATCTTATACTTGGTCAAATGCTCGAGCCTGCTTAAGAGCATTTGATACAATGCATACGCATTCGAGCAAACAACAGTTGAAAAGGGTGTTATATTTAGAAAACTGGAGCAGCGCGCTAATTCGACCGTTCGAAAATCGTTGGTCTTTTTGGGTAAGGTGGTGGATCGAAGAACTTCGTACACCTCGTTGTACGCATTTTGTCGCATTGTACTGGATTATCTCCCGATTAACAACGTTAACCAGTAAACCAAAAGGAATTCCCAATTTGCGGAATTCTGCAAATGGGAAACGTGCAATCCATAAAGTCCCCGCGAATGTAGATTTTCCTAAGATGCGATTTACGTTGGCCAATTTTCGCGTGCGGAGCTTCGTCGGATTATCTCCCCCTTTCGATCTTTTCTCCCTGCGGTCTTCCGCCGTAAACAGAACAAGCGATACGATACAACGTGGGTACGAGCGTGGGTCGGAGCCAAGCGCCCTGTGAAACATGCTACAGTGGGTAAGAAACGATGGTGAGACGAAGAACGTCTGGCGAATGGAGGAAAAAGAGCCGGAAAGAAATCAGCGAGGATATTCTGTTACACACTCGCGCGTATAAAGAGCGATGTTAATAAAATTTTTTCGCGATAAGAAACACCTGATGGTACCAAGAGGAATAAGGAAAGCGGATAGATGAGCCGAAAAATTTATAGAGGGAGGAAAAACGAGGGTGCATCTAGTCCGCCCGAAGGAGTTAAGTAGGGGGCTGAGAGGAGGAGAAGAGAGAGCTATTTTAGCGTCCGGTCCGACGATGTGCCACCTCTTCTCTCTGACACCTGGAATTCTCCACCAGAGCGAGCCACGTATTCGCGGAGGGAGACGACGAAGGGTAGCGAAGGAGGAGGACGTGGTGGTGGAGGTGATGAGCAGAACGACGCAGGGAAGGGGCCAATCTCAAATTACTTGGTGAGCTCTCCGGGCTAGGCCGACCGAGCATCTTTGCCCACCATCGCCCGGCGACCTTTTATAGACACTCGCCGGTAGTGGGGCGAGGTGGGAGGTCGAGGAAATTGTGCGAAAACTGGCAATTCGACGGGAAAAAGAGGGAGCGCGCGGCCGTGCGCGATCTCGCCGCAACCGGTAGCGGAGAACGGAGCGGATGAATGTTGATGAAGCGCAGACATTGAAATGCCAGCCGAGAAAAGAGCTCTCGCTCTTCTTCGCTCGCGAGCATTGATTGCATCCCTCGCGACGGATGCCGCAAAGACGACGGAAATCGCGGCATCGACCGGCGGTAACATCATCGCGTCCTATCAGCTTACGATACTCCTGCTCGTTGGAGAGCAGTTCGAACCGGTTATCCGACATTTAATCGGCAGCTAATCCAAGGACAAGACGAGCACAGTTCGAAAATGTTTAATGATGACGACTCGACAGAGCGTATCGCGAGGGTCGGATGGAGGCGAGCATTTTTCAACCAGCCTGCCAGTGGCACAACCACGCGCGGCATTCGCGTTTCCTGTCGTCACATTGTCAACAAGATCGTCTTGCGAATACCGAAATGTCTGACGAAATTTTAGGCTCGCGACCGACCGGATGCTGTGTGGTACATTCGCGGAAAGCGATAGGTGAGACGCGGAATTTAGGGAAGCGATCGACGAATCCGTTGAAATTGATTATCCGCATCACCGAGCGATCTCGAAGGAGAAATTCGTCGAGCTCTCGCGCAAGCGTCGGGCGCAAGGTATTGCATGAATAATGGGAGACTGTACTCGACGGACTCTTAAGATCGCAAATAACGCAAACGAATGTGGGTGGTGAAAAACGCCGTGTCAGTCGGCGCTAATGACTGGACGGTATTATTTTGAGAGCGAAGCTAAATTCATCGGCGACTCAGACGGTACTCCGCCGCCGACTTTCGTCCAAGTGCGCCGAAATATCCATATCGGTGAGAACGCGCGCCGGAGAATTATTCACGAGTGAATCTTCGATCCCAAAACAACTCTCGGTTGTTGTGACACGTGCCAGCGGTGTTGCTCGGTTGCTCGACATTTTTCTCCGCCGCCGCGCCACTCCTACGCTGAGCGCCGCCGAGTGGATAGATCTCTGAATGAGTCGGCGACTCGTTTCATCATCGATGGTCGATCTGCGAGCGACACCCTGCTCGACCCTGCGCCTCTCTTTCTCTCTCCCTCTCTGTTCAAGTACACTACGCTAGATCGGTGCGCAGACTAGTCACGACGCAGTTGTATCCGCATGTGCGTGAGATTTCCGGACGAACAATCCCCTTTGGGAACGCCCGATCTAATTTTCGACTGTCGGATGCATGTTAGCGTATCGCAGGATGCAAAGTAGATCTAAAACCGTGCTGGTGACGTTAACCAAACGTCTCCGCATGCGCCAAGAACAATTAAATCTGGAGTACCCTGACCCTTTCTCGTCTATGCTTTCGTCGTGCGAGTTCCAGGGTGCAATGACCAAAAGTCGTTCCTGTATCCAATAAATGAAGAATCTGCTATAACCAGTTATTATAGAAACTGGTTAATCAGTTATTGCGCACGGAGAAAATATTGTAGCAAATTACCACGAAATTTTGTAATGTCGGACCACAACGAATCATAACTGTAATATCGATGTGTGTTGCAATCATTAGTGATATATTTCATTGTACAAATCACTAAAGATTGCAACACGCATAATGTCAGTCATAATTCCGGTATGGTCTAATATTACGAAATTTCGCGGTAATTTTTGCGACAATATTTTCTACGTGTAGAGCTCGATTGTTAAAGCAATTTCAGATATCGAGATAAAAATCCGATCGATCCGATTCTTATTTAATATAGATCCCATATTCCAAGGGACAGTCCAGGAAGTGCTGAAGAACACGGTCCACGTCCTTGATGGCGCACCTTGAGACTCAGCGCATAGCGAAGTCGACCAAAGAGCGACATCCTTTCCTCAGCGTCCTCACCACCGCCGCCACCACCATCGTCGTCGTCGTCGGCCGAGCAGAAGTCGATTTGGCAACTGCCTTTGGACAACGTGGGCGTTTAACGGTCGCTTGGTGGTTCCCTTCGGCGATGATGAAGACGACAAGAACGAAGACGATGACGAGCGTGCTCGTTCCTGGTGGGGATTCTGGCGGCAGTGCGCTTGCGTTGCTCGTCATTTTGACGAAGCCATGAAGCGGCCGGCGCGCCATACGAACGACGACGGGTCGCGCACTACGAGTAGGGCGCTGGTCGGCTCCGAAACCCCGAAGAAGAAGAAGAAGAAGAGGACTGCGGGAAGAAGTTGGAAGTGGGCTCAACCGACGAGCGAGGCTGCAGCGACTTGTGACTTGATTCAGCCAGTGGCGGACAGAAGGACCCCTGCGAGCGGAGGGCGGCCGAACCGTGAGGATACACGAAGAAGGACTCGCACAGCACGAGAAGAAGCGGACGACCTCGTCGAGACCGGAAGCAGAGAGGAAGAAGATGTCGTCTTCAGCGGTTGCTAAGAGCTCCAAGTACGTGTACCGCTCTACGGGCGGTGCGGGCACTGCCGATGTTAGCATCGAATATAGCGCCGACCTGAGCGCTCTCAGCAGACTCGAGGTAGGTTTTCCCGCTGGAACAAGTGCCCAAGCCCGAAGGAAAGACGGGAAATCGACTCGGGAGAGAACGACCGCGTGATCCGGGGAAGGAGAGAGCCTGTCTTTCTCGAGAATCGATATCGCCGCGCTCAACCGCCGGGCGCGCTTCTCTAATTCTATCCTCGAATTATACAGCGAATAACTTTGTTGAATTATTTACAGGCCTGGCGCGTCTTGCGCTGCGCCTCCGGTTACTCGAAGTCCATCGGGAGGGTAAGGGTCGTTTCGTGAGGGACTTCGATTTCCCCAAAGAGACCTTCGGGAAACGAATCTCGAGAAATTCAAGTGCGTTAACTGTTAAGATAGGTATATTCGCGCAGATACTTCCTGACGGGGCTGCGAGAATTTTCGTCGCACGAACTCTGGGAAATTCTCGAAGCCCGGCGGGTCGAATCGGTCAGGTCGACCAAGCCGAAAGGTGCGGGCAGCCGCACTGAGGTAAGATAGAGTGCCCAACGTATCAACGAGATCGCCGAGGTATCGAATCGCAGCTACCACGGAGCGACTCCACGAGACGAACAAGACAGAACGCTTCGGCGCAGGTTCCCCGGTAACTCCTCGAGGAAACGCGCGACGGTATCGCGGAAAGACCGATAGATTCCGACGAGGAGACCCCGACGGAGGTCCGACGGGAGCTCTCCCGTGCATCGGCGGGACGCGGCACACAGTGACACGCGGCGGATTCGCACGTGAACGATGCGCGGAGCAGTGACCAATCGCGGAGGTAGTGAACCGCGAAAGTTCAGTGACCATGAGAGATGTTAGTGCCAACCCGACGAGGAAGCAAAGTGTACGACCGTTCTGTAGCTATCGGATTGCTCGTGTACGAAAATAGTCGGTGGGATATCGGTCCGAGACGACGATCGTGCCAAGGCACCGCGAGGCACCGTATCGATGCGGCGATTCTTCGAGGCGTACCGCCCGAGGACGGTACCCGAGTGAGCGGCTAATGGCCGCGAGAAACCCGGCGGGTCCTGCCTGGAGGATCCATCGAGGAGAACTCGTATCCTGAGAAAAGTATGAAGGACACGGTCGGCTGTTACGCGCCCAAGTAAGATCACTCCTTCGTCTCCCGCCGATACAGCGGCTGACCGTGTTCTCCGGTGCCAGCGCGGCTCCTTTGAGACCGGGCCGGCGTGAAGGCACGCTCAAACGGACGCTCGTTTTCTCTCCTTCTCCCCGAGGACGCACCTATTCGCAGGCACTCGGAGGCCGTGCGTCTTTCCGAAATACCGAGCCTCCGCTCTCGGGTATTTTTGTCGAGCGATTACGTAAAGCGCTCCGACCCTCTGCGCCGCGATACCCTCTCTAATCCTCATTGCCTCTCTCTTTTCAGGACAAAATCCGTCTACTGCAGGATGACCTGGAGTCTGAGAGGGAGCTGCGTCAGAGGGTGAGTTTCGAGAGAGAGTGTCTTCGCGTGTTCCCGAAGCGATTCCTAAACTTCCCTCCCCCGCACGTTAAAACCCCCTCGGCGGACGGATCGTCCAAGTTCGCTGTGTGTATACCATAACTCGCCCTTCGTGATGTCCGTTTGACGAACTGACGAGAGATTTCAACGGCTGCACCGACAATGAGCGGACAATGAGAGTGGCGGATCGGAATGAATCGCTAGCTAATTACCAGGTGAAATCGATAACCGACGTAGACGCTTAACGTGTCAACTAATTGTCTCGTCATGGTAACGTCCAAGCGCAGCGCCGATCGCCAGAAAGTAGCTCCGTCCGGCACGCTTGTCCCGCTGGCACTCGCTCGTCTGGTTACGTCACACGAATTCTGTAACAAGCGTGACCAAAGAGACGGAGATGGAACGCCAGTTTGGCGATTTTAACGAAAGACCGACTCTCTTCGGACGAGGAAGTCGACGACGATCCGTTTTCGAAGGGATTTGTATTTTTCTAACGCATCCGCCATCTAACAGATTCGCGAGGTAATCAGAAAACGCCGTCCGAGTGGCCGAAGAGCGTCGAATTCGAGTTCTTCGTCGGCGAAGTGTCAGTTATCAGATATCGCAGACTACTCGAGAGATGGATGTGAAAAAGAACCAAGGATGCTCCGCTCCACTGGCAGAGTGGGGAGCAGTAGGTCGAAATGTCCAGCTCTTGAGCAGCGTCTATTTTTGGGGACGCGAGTCTCTTCGGGATCGTTCCCGCATTCCTGCGCTGTATTCAACACGTGCCCGCTCTTTATAAATGAGAAAAACATTAACTCGCGACCCTCGTGGGATTTAAATAGTTCATCAACTGTATTCGTCGCGCGCTCAAGCGGGCTTAATTATCTCAGGCGGTAAAGAACGGGCGTGAAAAAAGTAGATGCTGTTTAAGAATAACTAAGAATAATTTCTCCAACCAGCGCGAATTCCATTTCTCTCGCGTTCCGGATCGGACGGAATTTTTCCATTCGCGCCGAAGTCCACTCTCCCGATCATAAAATGGCTTTCTCGCGCAATCTCGCCGGGAATTCCGGCCACATCCGGCGGTATTATGCGGCGAGAAGTGGAATTCCATCGTGATAATATTTACACAGTTGCGCGCGTATATCAGGGGAGGATCACCGCGCATTCCGGCCGGCTGCGAATTTACAAGAAACTTCTCGGGTTTCATTGTGCGTTAAGTTTCCGCCGAAATCAAACGTGTGTAACACGGCCGCTGTAATACGTGACTTGAACGATTGCCAAAAATTTCGCCCCGAGCTTTCGGGGGCTGTAAAGCTCGGGAACTGAAACGTCGCGTTAACACGGGCGTATACGCTTTCGGAACGCGATACATATTTCATTCGTGCGACACGCGAACGCGACCGGCCGCAAATGTCCGCGATGAAAATTGAATTCGCCTCTTTTCCTCTCGGCGCGGACAAAGCGAGTCGCGGCATCTATCGAACACGAGGAAAAAATCGCGAAGGACGGTTTGACGCAACGGGCCGAGGCGGAGGCGACGTCGTGCTCCTCTCTTTTCGCAATAAACGCCTCGTTTGAAATACGAATAAAGCTCCCGATATAGACGCGCCGCGTCCGAAATTAGATCGTCCTATTCGCGCGGTAAAGAAATCTGACGTCAAGCTCGCCGACGCCGGGGCACCCGGGGCAGGCCGCCGCTCGATTTCTTCTATCCGGACGATCGTCGCGGCGTCTCAATTTCGCAATCCGCACATTTCTTCGTCTACGAGCCGTTTGATTGATCGAACGTCCTTTCACGGCGCCTCCGTAACGTTGCAGATCGAACGCGAACGCGCCGACTTGAGCGTGCAAGTCATCCAGCTGTCCGAGCGTCTCGAAGAGGCCGAGGGCGGCGCCGAATCTCAAGTGAGTACCTCTCTCACCGAATGCTCCGAGAAATCACGCGAGCCTAACCGACTTTCTCCCGTTCGCAGTTCGAGATCAACAAGAAGAGGGACACGGAGCTGGCCAAGCTGCGCAAACTACTCGAAGACGTGCATCTCGAGAGCGAGGAGACCGCACATCTCCTGCGTAAGAAGCACCAGGAGGTGGTCGTCGACTTCCAGGATCAGATCGACCAGCTCTCGAAAGCACGCGCCAGGTTAGTGGCCGTTGCTCCGTACGGTTTCGAATTGAACGTTTCCACTGCCGAACCGAGCAGCGAAGGCCAGAACCCCGTGAATTCTGGAAAGCCCACGTGCGTCGATCCGCGATCGGCAAAGCGCCGATGTAAACGCCTGCTAATCTCCCCTTTGAGGCGAGAATGTGCGTTTGCCGGGGAGCGTCAATAAACAGCTGGGTGCTGGCCGGAAGCTGCCCGGCGGTAGCAAATAGCGATTCCACGAGGAAGCGTCGCGCGAACGACGCCCCGACGAAGGGGAAGAGACGCGATAGGGAGGATGCGTAATGAATCACGGTGTTACGCGGGTAATTATAGCGCGCGTGTTCCTTCTTTCTCTCTCTCTCTCTTTCCCGTCGCAAACGAGAGTGACTGTACGTAAGAAAATTTGCGCGAATTATACCGGTCGGCCGGCTGGCCGCCGTCCAAGCCAAGGAGCGACTCGCACCTGAAATACACGAAAGTTTCGGCACCCCGGCTCTTCTAAACATAGTTTCGCCCCTTCGGCGCGCCGAGATCCCGTCGCTCCGGCAAGGACGTCGGCGGTCGTCCTGGAGACGCGTGTTACCATTAATCGCACGCTGATTATCCACCGCGACCGCTTTCGACTCTCGCTTCCTTTCCTCGCCAGTTCCCGACGGAGAATGGAGCGATCGCGCGGGGAGAACAATTCCGCAGACAAACGTCCGGTCTGCCGAAGCTTCGTCCTACATACTGTAGCAAATAAACACACGAAAAGCGTTACCCCAAAGCACGATTGAACGATCTTGAACTCCGTCGGTTTAAATTGCACAGAGTACTTTCTCTCTCTCTCTCTCTCTCTCTCTCTAATCTTAGGAACAAATTTAATTAAAATTCGTGAATATTTATAGTAGTAATCAATTCTCGATCTTAATTTCCTCTGTGATGGGTCGTTAGATCAAAATAAAATCTGGTAGGTATTTTTGGAATTTTCTTCAAATACGAAAAAAATCCGTCATTGATTCGTCCGAAATCTTATCGCTGAAAAATCTCAGATTCTCATATCGCATTTGAAACACACGTATCATGTCGCACGGTTTTCCAAAAGTGATCCCAAGGCGGTTGCCAAAAATACGAACTAATCAAGGCAGCTGCTACTTAGTTTCAGCGATCCAACCGCGCGAGCGGCATCAGATATAATCGTCCGGTTACATGCGTTGCGTGATTTCACCGCCGATTATAAATCGCGATCATAACATCGGCGGTATTCTCGAAAATATCGCGAGCGTAATAGTAAGAAATAATTCTCAATCGTCGTCCTCTTCGTTTTCTCTCGACAATTTCACGAGATATCTCTGTAAACATTTCCGTCCAATTACTGATCGCCATCATAGATATCGCTAATATTAATCTTTGCATTCAGCAGAAAGAAAAAAGCTTAGCATGACCGTTGCTTCTGATTAGTATATTCTTTTAGATCCGTGGGAGATCTAGAAGAATATCCCAATCATAGGCGGTTAGTAAGCTGCTTTTTCCGCTGAACGCAGACGTCGACGCAATTGCAGCCGTTTCCCCCTTGAATTTGAAGATGCGAAACGAGCGTTTCAGCCGTCGGGAATGCGCGACGCCACTCAGGAAAGAAGAAAAACGAACATCTCCACCTGTTCGCGGAGCAGGAAGCGAGAAGGGTGGCGTTACGGGCAACTCGCTGTAACCGCACCGTCGCGCACGCTCTTTCTTCTCTTTCCCGGCGCGAACACGCGCGCGGTCTTCCTCTATCGCGCCGCATCGCCTCTCTTTCTCCCTCTGTCTTCCTTTTGCACGCACGGTTACTCGGCTTATGACTATTTTTAACCATGCGAGTCGCGCGGCAATCCACAACCCCGCGTTGGCGCGCCATATTAGTACACGCGACCGGCCCGAATCCCCACTATCCCCGGAATCGGCTAACCGACACCTTACACCCTCTTTATCGCGCGTGTAGGTGTGAGTCCGGTATCGTCCGCATTATTTTTTTCGCCCGGTCCCCGGTAAAAAAATGGACCACCTCGGCATGACGTTCTTATCGACGTGGCCGCGACGTCGCGACCGTGAGAAAAGCACGAAGACATACGCTGTTATTAAGCTTGGACGCCCTCCCCCTTCCCTCCTCTCTCGTCCCTCTCTCTCGGAATATCCTCTCTCGAGCGAACGTTGTTTCGAAACGTTAATTACGTCCGGCTGCTTTCTCTAAATTAAGAAAGCGCATCGCACGCCTGTTTCCGTATTTTTGACACGCGTTAACCCACTTAGCCGGTCGGACTAAAAGGGTAGAAGCGGCCCATCGGTATCGGGTTACGAAAGCGTCGATGCGCCGGAATGTTGGCCGAAGCACACCGGAGTCCGATTCTTCGATTGTTCTTCTAGTAATTAAAATGATTTACGTATAGAGGTTATCCGCGAATTCTACCCCCGAATGTGACCTTGCAACGTAGAATCAGTTCTCCGTTCACTTTCTCGCGTTGGACGCTGTTAAAAAGAATCGGGACAATTCCTTGCAGACGAATGAATATCGTGTGAAATAAAGAAAGGATATTCGGAATGGACTTTTTAACAAGATCGCTTCGTCATTTCAGGGCTGACAAGGAAAAGTCGAAATTCCAGCAGGAAGTGTATGAACTCCTCGCTCAACTCGACAATGTCACTAAGGAGAAGCTGATGTCGATAAAGACGGTGGAGAAGCTGGAGATACACGTGTCCGAGCTGAACGTCAAGATCGAGGAACTGAATCGCACGATCGTCGACATCACCAGCCACAAAACCCGGCTGTCTCAGGAGAATATCGAGCTGGTCAAGGAAGTGCAAGATCTCAAGGTAGACCAAACGAACGCTAGCTAGAACGGATTGATTTTTGCCGCGATCCGTTGCAAAATCGCTGATCACTCAATGAAATTTATAGGTGAGCATCGAGAACATCAGTTATCTGAAAACGCAAATCGCGGGTCAACTCGAGGATGCCCGCCGCCGCCTCGAAGACGAGGAACGCCGTCGTGCGTTGGTCGAAGCTTCGTTGCATCAGGTAGGATTCGCTATACTTTCAGCATAGACTTCAATAGTTCCCAGTGAAACGGCAAACTTTCGTGAAGTACTCAATAGCCTATTAAATTCAGTCTTCTTCGACACATCAAGTGGCAATCTCGATTTTTAATGCCATGAAAAGAATGTTTAACATTAACCTCGTTTCGACAGGTCGAAGTGGAATTGGAGTCTGTCCGCGTGCAGCTGGAAGAAGAGTCTGAAGCACGCTTGGATATCGAACGCCAACTGGTCAAGGCCAGTGGAGAAGTCTCAGTATGGAGGTCGAAGTACGAGACTGAGGCCAATGCTCGCGCCGAAGAGGTAATTTCTATACTTGTTCATGCGAGAATATGAAATTACTCCAAACCTCCCGCAATCGACTCAATCAATGCAAAAGAAAGAACCTGGATGTGTACTGATTTTTTATTTAATTTTATACAGGTAGAAGAACTTCGTCGCAAGTATTCTGCTCGTATCCAAGAACAGGAAGAACAAATCGAGACCTTGCTCGTGAAGATCAATAACCTCGAGAAGCAAAAGTCACGCCTGCAATCCGAAGTGGAGGTTCTGATCATCGATTTGGAGAAGGTGAGATTCCATCGTTTCTCGTTTGTAGTCTTTTGTCCCTCGCGCTTATTTATTTATTTTTTGAAACACTTTCGCATATATTTTTTCTTGAGGGGCGTTCATTTCTTTTTTCTTTTGAGAACGGTATTTCAAATATACTGATATCGTTTTGACTCTTCTTCTTTTCAAGGCCAATGCAACCGCTCGCGAGCTGCAGAAACGCGTGGAACACCTCGAGAAGATCAACATAGAATTGAAGGCCCGCTTGGACGACACTATGGCCATGTACGAGCAAAGCCAGCGCGACCTCCGCACCAAGCAGCAAGAACTGCAACGCACGAACGCCGAACTCGACAAGACCCGCGAAATAAAAGACCAATTGGCGCGTGAGAACAAGAAACTCGGAGGTGATTGTTGTCGATTTTTCTATTCGCGATACATTTCGAAATTAAAGTAGCGATGATCAGCGTAGACTTCTCCATCAATATTTATCGCAAGCTTGGTAGAAACGAAGCTTCTGTTTATTCAATAGAGAATGAACATTTGGATGTCCCAATCGTTAAAAAGTTTCTGCGATTTTCGTAATATGGATGTGTTTCTGCAGACGATCTCAGCGATGCGAAGAACCAATTGGCCGACATGAACCGCAGACTCCACGAACTGGAACTGGAGCTTCGCCGACTGGAGAACGAACGTGAAGAATTGGCCGCCGCCTACAAGGAAGCTGAAGCAGTGAGTATATATTCTTATTTCCGAGGATGATTGATTTTCAAGTGAAAATGTGATACTGAATACGGAAAATTTTGATATAGGGACGCAAGATCGAGGAGCAACGCGCTCAGAGATTGTCAGCCGAATTGAGCCAACTACGCCACGAGTTCGAACGCCGCATTGCTGAAAAGGACGAAGAAATCGAGGCTATTCGGTGAGTTCTAAAAAATTATCCATTTTCACTTGCATCTCACTTTTCACGGATATGTTAATATAATTCGTTTAATTAATTTATTATTTATTTCAATAATTCGGTAATTTTATGTGGACATATTAGAGTTCCGATGAACTTTTTTCTACCTTTTACTCCATTTTATATTTCCAAATTTCTCTGAATAAAAATTACGGACTTCTAGGAAGCTGATTATTCTCATGTTTTATCAAATATACAAGAGTTACAATTGTCGTGTATCGTTCAACCTGGGACTTAAAGCGATTACGTTGACGTGGAAAATACAGGTTTCCCCTTAAAATGATTTTCTATTCACACCAGTGAACAATCGATAACGCGAAATTGCGAAGAAAGTGTTGTCGCAAGGTAAGACGCAAATGTCAACCAGAGTATTTCGGACTGTGATGTAATCGACTTATTTCTGATCGACCGTCGTGCGTCGAGTGATGCTATTTTAAGCGCACACAGTAAACGCAGTTAAATTTACCAATCGATTCGAAGGTTTAATCATGATGGATGGTTTCCCTGGATGGCCTCTAATTATCTATCTACGCTTCTTCAAATTAAAGAATGCGATGGTCGCTTCTGTTCTTCGGTTTCGATGACGTTTATGAGCTTGATGCTCCGCGAAACTTACGCGAGGATGGATGAGTTTCACACTCGCTGGGAGGATTTTATTTGCGGAGAGTTACATGAATAATTATCACCCAATTGCGGCGGCATTGATCTGCAAATTGAACGCCGAAGCATTAACGAGGACACCGATAAAAACTCATACGACATGACGAACCGCTATTAATAAGCGTGTAAGCCCAATCAGTCGTGATCCAATTATTATTGAGAGGTGCTGATTGGTCGTCCCCGATGTGGCAATCGCAACGAAAAGTACAAAAGATACCACCTGAGCACCGGCCCAATTTTTGCCGACGATCCTGTCGCAAGAGCGACACCAGCGTTCGTAAGTCCGTCCGCAAAAATCACAAATTTCACTGCGAAACATTCACCGTCCGCTTCGTCTCCGACCTAGAACCGGACGCTCGTTGATTGCAGACGCGAATTCGAAGCTTACCGGAAGGCATCCTTCGCCCCGAATCGTCGCTTTTCTTCGCCACGGAGCTCCTCGAATCGTCCCATCTTAGAAGCAAACCAAGCACCCTTTCCGTCGACCGAAGCTCTCATCAGAAATGGCGGGTTACATGCCACCGATTCACATGCCGCTGGAGCCGAAGTGGCGGCATTATCCGACGTACATCTACGACCGAAATTACAGCTACGGCATGAATTACTATCAGCCAATGATCGATTACATGGACGCCAAGCGACTCGAGCCGCGATCGAGCTTGCCGGGGCTCGGGAGGAGACGAGTGGAGCTGCCCGAGCTGCCTTGGTCCGACGGTCGAGCTCTGTGGCAGGAGAAAAAGGTGGAGCCCTACACGAGGGACGACCTGATCAGGCGCGCGATCGACGCCGAGGACGAGGCGAAGGATCACCTGTCGCGGTTCAAGGTACGGAGGCGCGAGGTAGCGCAAAGAGGCCGCCTGAGGAGATCCCCGCGCGAGAACAGCGGTCTCTGGGAAATATCGAAGGCGATCCGTTTTCCCGAGTGCCGCGCGTCTCGCCGGCGCGCGCGACTGCCTGACCTTTTCGGTTTCTAAATTTGGTGCCGCGGAAGAGGCTGCCTCGTTTCAAGCGGCCGAAGCCGCGCGCGCGGATGCCGTGCGTAATTCGTGTCATCGTGTTGCGGACCTCGCTTTCTCGTTTTGCAACTTTGCCGACAAGCCCCGGCTTATTCCGCGGCTCTTCGTATTCCCGTCGCGCGAGAATTCGCCGATGAATCTTACCGCACTGCCGCGTCGAAGTGCGTCGAATCATCCGCGCGTCAGTCTGCTAATTAATCGGCGATTACCATTCTCGGGAGACGACGAGGATACTTTTCTGATACGAGTTACGCATGCGGAAGTTCTCCGAGGTGTCCTCGAGAAATTCGTCGGAACGTCGCCTCCTGAAACGCGACTTTCGTCTCGCCGAATTCGTCACGACGCGGAAAGCGGCATTCCGATCCCGAGATCTACCGCGCCAGGGCGACTTTCCCGAACGGACTATCATTAGCCAAGAAAGCTCTTATTCACGAGGCCGACAGCTCGGAGAGCTTACCGGGCGTCGAACAATCAAAATATCGCGGAAGCGCCAACGAGCGGTCTCTTGGCACTCTATTATTTGGACCATTCTTCACGGCTCCCGATCGCGCCGGTCTGCCAAGTCAGTCGTGCGCGCTGAAAAATCCATCTTGCGTCTCCTCCCGGACGAAAGGGAGACACTAAGGTGTTCGGTGCATTGGCAGTCGCGCTCGAGTCTCTAGAGAGTCGGTCGGCGAGTCGGCCGACGATCGCATTCTGGACCGGCTAAGTTTAGGCGGCCGCGAGCCTGAGCACGACGGAAAACGGAGAAGCACGTAGAGCGCCACCGAAACTGACGTTCACCGTGTCTGTCTGACTGACGTGTCCGAAGATAGCGAATCGCTCGGACTTCAGTCTGGCGAAGACCGTGCACGCCAGTCGCGTGACAAAGGAGATCCTGCCGCGGACGGGAGAGGACCTGAAGAGACTACCGATGCCGTTGATGTTCGCTCGGGCCCGCAGCGAGGCCAAGGAGATCCGGCGGGAGGCGATGAGCGACGTGAAGCTGCAGGCGCTCAAGGACGTCCAACTGATGACCGACGTGCACGACGCGCTGGACCACGGTAAAAAGCTGCGCGGCAAGTCCGCCAAGGCGATCGAGTTCCAGCTGAGGACGGAGGCCCTGAAGAATCTGTCGAAGAGCCAGCAGCTGGCCGACATCCGTCGCTTCCAGAGGGAGACCGTGCACTCCCTCTGGGACGAACGGGCTCACGGCAGGCTGATGGAGGCGAGAACGAAGTCTCTGATCGACGAGGACAAGCTGATGCAGCCGCTCGACTCGCTCAGCCGAGAGCTGCGCGGATTCGAGCAGAAGTCCAGCAGTTATTTCTTGGACAAGAGGTACCGAGACCGCGCGAGGCGGGAGCTTTTGAACGGGTGTCGGGGATGCGAGTATTATAATTATTATGTTAATAAGCGTGGTAGGTAGGCGAGAGTTGTATGAGCGTCCCAACAGAGTTGCCAGTAGAGCGAGAGAGCGAGACGACGCGTCGCCGCTCAGAAAGGTAGGCGAAAACGCGCGGAATCGAAATAAACGCTTTCGATCGTCGGCATTCGACTTTGTGTTTGGCGAAAGTCACTTTCGTGCCTCCTCCCCCCTACTTGAATCGCAACCCAGCAAGCACCGACTAACAATAACGTTACATCGATGCTATAATTTTCCACTAAACGATGTAAACACAATGTAACATGTGTTGTATGTAACACTACGTACGTAGTTACATTGTCGAACGGAAAATTATAACGTTGGCACAATGTTACTGATGGTGTTCGCTGGTAAGTTGCCCGTTACTTTATTTCCGATAGCCCGTGTCCGATTCTTGAGCGATCGTGCGAATGAAGCGGGTAATCGAGAATTAAATCCCAGGATGGACGAGCTAAATCGGTCGAAATTTCGGGGAAGCTGCTTAGATATAACTTCGGCGTGACAGCCGGAAACATCCCCAACCTTGCCCACGATTGCATTATCACGTGAAAAAGGACGCTCGAGATATGTACACTGACGTCGAATGAAATTAATTAGCAAACAGACCAGCATCGAGATCGAGCAGCTGAACGCTCGCGTGGTGGAGGCCGAGACGAAGCTGAAGACCGAGGTGCAGCGTATAAAGAAGAAGATGCAGATCCAAATCACCGAACTCGAGCTGTCCCTGGACGTCGCCAACAAGAACAACATCGATTTGCAGAAGACCATCAAGAAGCAGTCCCTCACCCTGACCGTAAGATAAATCACCAAGAACGAAGTTTAAAGCGTCCGTGACGTTGCTGTACACGTGCACCTTGGGTCGTCTTGCTTTTCAGGAACTGCAAGCCCACTACGACGAGGTGCAACGCCAATTGCAGGTGACTCTGGACCAATTGGGCATCAGTCAACGTCGTCTTCAATCGTTGACGGCCGAGCTCGAGGAGGTCCGCGGCAATTACGAATCCGTGAGTACGAACGACTGTTTCCTGGAATGAATTTCGCTCGAGAAAGATTAATCAGCCATAGTTATGCAAGAAGGATCCAATCTACATAGAATACTTTTCGAAGGAAACGAAGATGAAAATTTGATGCTTGATTTAAAAAGTATAAATAGCACTGGGGTATTTTTCGCATCGTTCTAGAAGCCGAGCATGACCCGTTTTCTTCTCTTCAAGGGTGTTCATTGAAAAGCTTAACTCTTAAAAAGAGAGTAAAAAAGACGCAACTAATGAAAATGGCACAATTAATGGGAAATAAGAACTGTTTTTAATCAATTCCAGACGTCCACAAGGCTTAAATCTTTTTCTTTTACGTAGGAAGACGTATAGACCATCCATTGGTAACGAAATCTAAAAAATCATAATTTTGTGAGTTGGATAGCTTCTCGCATAGCTATGGCTAATTAATACATCGTCAATAATTCTACATCAAACATTAATAATCATAATCATCGTCCAAAATGTTTAGTTTATCCTCTGGATGAGCGAAGGTACGACGACAATGCACGAATATCGCTTATGTAAGATATGTTACGTAAAGGCGTAAAGCGCGAAATCGCATTTGTGTTGAAAGGCCCTGCGCGCGAAGAGGATCGTCGAGCAGCAATACGAGGAGTCGGTTAGCCGTATCAACGAGCTGACCACCATCAACGTGAACATCGCTTCGTCGAAGGCTAAAATCGAGCAGGAACTGGCAACCTTGGCTGGTGATTACGAGGAGGTCACCAAGGAGTTGAGAGTCAGCGACGAGAGATACCAGCGAGTGCAAACCGAGCTCAAGCACACCGTCGAGATCCTTCACGAGGAACAGGAGCGTATCGTCAAGATCGAAGCTATCAAGAAGTCGTTGGAGATCGAGGTGAAGAACTTGTCCGTGAGATTGGAGGAGGTCGAGGCCAATGCCATCGTGGGCGGCAAACGCATTATCAGCAAGCTCGAGGCTAGGGTAAGAGGCAAACGTTATTCCAATTTTCATCTCAATTTCAAAAGGTAATTTCAGCTGTGACACTTTAAATTTCAATTATGAAAATTATGATATATTCTTCGACCGTAAATTTAGAACTGGAGAAATGTTCACACCCGACTCACTAATAGAAATCACGATTAGCTTGCTTATTGCACATTTTTCTCGACACGTAAGAGCCATTTTCAGGGTGATCTTTAATCAATTCGTTCGTTGACAATTCTCACGGCAGATTCGCGACCTGGAGCTCGAGCTGGACGAGGAGAAGCGCCGACACTCCGAGACCGTGAAGATCCTGCGCAAGAAGGAGCGCAATATCAAGGAGGTGATGATCCAGGTCGAGGAAGACTCGAAGAACATCGCCCTGCTGCAGGAGTCGCTCGACAAGGCCAGCCAGAAGGTCAGCATCTACAAGAGGCAGTTGCAGGAGCAAGAGGGCATGTCCCAGCAGAGCGTCACCAGGGTCCGCCGATTCCAAAGGGAGCTCGAGGCCGCGGAGGATCGCGCCGATACGGCTGAGAGCAACCTGACTCTGATCCGTGCCAAACACCGCAGCTTCGTCACCACCTCGACCGTGCCCGGTTCCCAGGTCTACCTCGTCCAGGAGACGAGGCAGGACCTGTAAGAAGACACCACCGCCGTCACCGCCACAACACCTTACCCTTTGCCACCAAGCGAACGCCGCGTCGCCGTCTTCGCAAACGTATGTGTGATAGAGGACCATGCGTACACAAAATATGTGACTTCAAGATCATTCAAAATTCCCCGCATCGGTAGTTGATCGTACAATCGCCAGGCAGGATTTCTCCCGAGACGGCTGCACGAAATTGAACGGCAAGAAGGAGCAAAAGAAACGGAAGAAAAGGATAGAACGTTTTTCAGTCATTTTTAAGTAACGAAACGAAAGCTTAATTCGGGCCTTAATTTCGACAGGCGTCATGAACACACCACGACGGAAAAAAAATCAAGAAAGACGCGACGTGAATTATGACAACGAACCGAGGAAGAAAAAAAGCGAGAGAGAAAGAGAGAGAGAGAGAGAGAGAGAGAGAATTTCCAACGGCCGCACGGCGTGTTATTTTCGAGGGGTTAAATCGGAGCAACCAGAATACGAACCTATTTAATTAAACGATGTGCGAGTGCAGCGCCCGCTGTTACCTGTAACGACCCGTCGAAAATTCGAAATCACTTGGCCAACGAGACGCGATACGTCGCAACGAGAACGTTTGAAACGCGAACGGGAAAGTAAATCAACGCTCGCTACTTTGGAGAGATTGGCGCGTGAACATCCGAAAATACCGCGCGATCGAGAGAACCGATCATTAATAATTACGCATCGCGCCCTACGAGAGCGGACATCAAATTTAATCGAAGATCTTCTCGTCCCAATTATATATGTGATTGTATTATCGAGCGTGTGAGGGCAGAGGAAACGGAGAGTGAGGAACCGCGAGAAATGGGGCAATGGCAGCTCAGCGCCTAGCTATATTCGCACGTGTCGCAATTGTATTTAAATGGATAACTTTAATTCTATTCTATTACTATATAGATAGGTAACTATTGCCCATATACACAAGTCTCACTGTACGACATACACAATAACCTGTGTCAACATTAATTTAATAAATAAACTGAAACGCGTACGTACGAAGGGGGCTGTGTTTCATTTCCCGCGCTGCGTACACACACCGGCAAGGAATCTCCGAGGGGAGACCTTCGTTGACAGGAGACTCGTTTTGTTTTTACCATTACTTCTTGCGTGGAATTTCAATTATCCGCCTGAAATCTTTAATACACGTCTGACAATTCTCCCACTCACCCAATTTCCTCATTTATCGCCTGTATAATCATCATCCAATTTAATGATTGCGCGAAATCCGTAGGGGGTGTCGAGAAGCAAACACACACACGAGGAGTTACATTAAAGTAAATTTAATTTATTCGAGCTAATTATTCTCCGGACCGCTATGGCGTTTATTAGTAGGGTCCGCTCAGAAGCCAGATCGATGAAGCCCAAAAGCACGGGAGTCCCGAATTTTGTGATCGCCCACCCACGGATTCGTCGAGTCGATTTCGCCTAGATTTATTACAAAGACGCTACGTGATATAATAGAATGTTCGTAGTGTTCGCGGGGGTCCCGCGTGCTGGGCTCCAACAATCTCGCGCATTCCCAATTACAAATCAGAAGTTAATAATAATTAATAACATTAGGTACGTATATCTATTAACAGTATTAAGATCCATCCACACCGCCAGGCACGCTTTATACAGCGGCAGTAATTAATGGTCGATTAAACAAGTCACCGATTTGTGTTTCTTATAAATCGTAGAAAACTTCGACTCTCCGATGAGGAAAATGAGCGAAATCGCGAGGGACCGCTTACCGAGCGCGGTCCGATCGCGCCGACGGGGAAACGAAAAATGAAAGGAGAAGAAGAAGAAGATCGAAAAGTGATAGAACGATCTTGGTAAAGCCGATTTTGGTTCTCAAGTCACGAGACACGCGAGACGTATGATATTGTGATAATTATTCATAGAAAAAACGGTAACTCATGGAATCGGTCGGTGCTCCCGCATGTTCGTGGCTTCTATCGAATACACTACAGATTGTTTCTTTTCTTTCTTTTTTTCTTCAGAAAAAAACATTCAGTCTTTGAAGTATATGCTTGTGTGTACGCGCGTGTGTGTGTGTGTGTGTGTGTGTGTGGTGTGTGTACCGAATCAAGAAGCTTCTTCAACGAAATATGTCCGTAGAAAAAGTTGTTGCTCTGCCTTCCCGTCCCTCGTCGCAACCATACAATCTTGCGATTCGCGAGTTCTGTTTTTAGCGATTATTAATAGCACGATTATTCGGTATTGCCCGTACGTTACCACGGGCAACTCGACTCGACGAGATACAGATTTCACCGCGCTATCGTGCACGATACCTCGATCCGTATCTAACACATTGAAACTCCTTGACTTAGTATCCCCTTTTATTTTTATTACAATATGAGCGGACAACAAGTTCGCAAATTTCTCCTTCGCCTCGAGATAAATCTTTAACAGCAACAACCTTCCGTGTACAGAAACTACACTTATCACGATACATTTGCAGATGGAAAAATAGTAATAGAGACGCGACATGCCCGTGTTACGAACGTTACGAGTAATCAAAGGAAATACGGTTACCATTCACCAACTCACCCGTCCGTCGTTTTACGAAAATTACAAGTGCTCGTTCTATCCATATGTAAGTCGTCGATGAACATTTACACCATTATGTACAGAGTATTATACAATGGAAACGGGAAACGGAGAATAGAAATGATGAGATACGGCGATAATGCGTCGATAAACTTATCCTAACGTTACTAGTGTAAGGGTACTCTCTAAAATAATAACGCACTTAAACAGAAACGGAGAGAATCTCGCGAGTCTGCAAGCAACCTAAATTTTTCTTTCTTCTTCAAGCTTACTCGTCCATCGTTTGCCGTAATTTTTGCTGTCGCATCAAGCGACGAGATAAACGAAGTCATAAATCTCGATCAATTTAGACGTCCACGTCGTACAAAAAAGACACGCATGATCAAATCTGAAAATCGTGACGAATCTATCGCACACGTTATTTAGAACTTCATATAACGTAACCGAAAACAAATACTCGAAGTTATCGCGAATCTGCCCAAAACGGTTGGAGGGACTCGCGCTTCGAATGTAAAACAACGCTGCAAGAGGAAAACGCAAGTGACGGAAACGAGGGAAATCAACTATAAACAACAAAATATCGCGATGATTATTAATAGAGACACTTGTTTAGTAAAAAGGGAGGGAAATAAATAGAATAAAAGCTCTTTGTTCGGAGGTCTTATAGTCAAGATATACGCGACACCTCCTCTGAACCATCCAAACGAGTGGAAACGATTTTTGGTCTATGACTCTTCAGCAATCGCTAATTAACTTATTCGTACAATATAATACGCAATGTTCCCAATCGGAGAGTCGCACTGTTCCGATTACATTTATTACTAACAATCACTCTTTAGTTACAGGACTCAAGTGCAAAATAATTCGTCATTAGTAGACTAATATCACATAATTCTTTTTTTACCGAAACGTATACGATCTACGTATTTGTCTTGGGACTAAGAGAAACAAGAAGAGGGGGGCTCTTCAATGTGTATATAAAAAAAGAAATTAGTCGTAAATGAAAAATAGAATATTCTCATATATAAGCAAAAAATATTATAATCTTAGAAAATATTTTTTCTTGATTTGATTGAATTTTTATTCACGCAAGTATTACTTGAACTAAATTCAAGGCTAAAAACTTTCTAAGAATATTATAATATTCTTGTTTATACATTTGAGAATATCTCTTCTTAATTTAAGACTATCTCTTTTCTGTGCCGCTGTGCACAGAGATTATTCACAAATTATTCCAATTTTCTCCTATGCGAAATATCGGAACGCTGCGCGACTCTCCCTGGAGAACACATTCATCCATTCCACCGGTAATCGTTAAACACTGGTATCACCTAAAGCACAAAACGAAATAGACGGTAAATCGCCTTAAAGGTACAAGTTTCTTCCCACTAACGGAATCGCGATGCGGTCGTAAGTGCCGCGTGTGCAAACATTTCATTTCTCTCTCTCTCTCTCTCTTCTAATTTATTGTTATTCTTTTGTACAAGTGTGTGTGTGAGGGGGGAGGGGAGCTTAAACAGTAAGGAGCGGAAAGGGATACGGAGGAGGATGAAATATCATTTGGCAGTTCGGCATTCGTCGGATATGAGTCAGACTGTTCGACGGTTCGGCGACCCAGTTGTAAACCGCGATAAACCGCGACTGACGTCAAGACGAGATCGGGAGCGACGTCGGGGGGTGTCGCGGCCCGGAAATGTAGCTGGCGCGGTGGATACGAGAGTGCGCGAGCAGGAAAAATATCTTATCGTTTCCGCATTCGAGAGTCCTGAGATATCACCAATTTGCGTGCGGCCGCCGTTGCGAATGATCCGAGCGAGCTCTTCTCTGCGTTATTCCGCTTACTCTCTGTCAAACATGCAACAAACACTCGACGGAGAGAATTCGTTGTCACACGAGAACTCATTCCGCATCCAGGTCGAAATTCCAGTTCTGCATTAAATCTATTTAGTTCTACATTAAGTATTCAAAAGTCTTCTATTGTGCTCCCTTTGATGTCACAAATGGAAAGTTATTTCCGTTTCCTCCATTTTAGGACTTAACGTTGAGAACTGAAAATTTCCTCGAGTGGTCTTCACGCAATTTCACGCAAGTATTACTTGAACTAAATTCAAGGCTAAAAACTTTCTAAGAATATTATAATATTCTTGTTTATACATTTGAGAATATCTCTTCTTAATTTAAGACTATCTCTTTTCTGTGCCGCTGTGCACAGAGATTATTCACAAATTATTCCAATTTTCTCCTATGCGAAATATCGGAACGCTGCGCGACTCTCCCTGGAGAACACATTCATCCATTCCACCGTTAAACACTGGTACAAATTCCCTTTGTAACATCAGAGGGGCCTTATAAGTGCAAATGGGAGGTTTATTTGTTTTCTCCACTTGAAGACTTAATATAGAACTAAGTAGATCAAGATTTCGACTCAGGTAACATCTGATTTCTAATCCCAGACCCGCATAGTTTTTGAGAGATATCGTTTGAGTAGTCGACGTTGAGCATAACAGAAAATATTTTTCCCGGTTCGCGGGTGCACGGGTGCAGTTTGTGGGAACACAGCGTACATTATTATTATCCGTATCTCTTTCTCTCCTCTCTCTCTCTCTTTCTCTCTCTTTCTCTCTCTCGCTTTAATTAATATTCGATCGGGTATTGGCACAGAGAGTTGTACTAGCAGTATGGAAACAGCTGTAAAGGGGAGACACCGGTCGAGCTTGCGGCGTCGCGGATCGACGGATGCGCGCGCGCTTCTCGTGAGAGCACAGTGTAAGTATAAAAAACGTCACCGCGAGGCGATCCCGCCGATGCACACGGACTATCGTTATTTAATTACGTAATGATAAATTAACCTACGTGTCATAATAGGAATGTGTACGGGGAGCGAGCGAAGAAACGAGGCTCCGCCTTCGGAGCGACGGTTCATTGGGAGCCGCGCTCATTATCTACTAGTTGAACATTAGATTCTCAGTCTTTCGGTGAATTGCAATCCACGACGAGTGCGTGACGTCACTCTGTTACAACCGAATCGTGCAGATTCGTTGCCGCCCGTCTCGTCTTGTTCGCCAGGTGGGAGAGAAAATGTGGGAGGACGAAAAAGGCTCCTCCAATAATAATGAGGGACTTGCTTCCTTTTTAGAGACACGTCTTGTCTGTCTACGTCGTACTCTTACGTCTCTATCGCGTCACTGCGATGCGGATTGTTCTCGATTGATACGACTGAATAAAGATCTAAGATTTCTGTAAAACTTGGAAACTTGCATTCGGTAGTTAAAAAAACCTTAATTCTTAAATCAAGAATAGATGTTCCCATATATAAGCGAGTACGTTATAACCTTCTTGGAAGATTTTTACTCTTGATTTGATTGAATTTGTATTGATGCAAGTATTGGTTGAACTTAATACAAGACTAAAAATCTTCTAAGAGTATTATAATATTCTTGCTTATGTATAAGAATATCTATTTTGATTGAAGGTCAATTTCTTTCTGTGTAGCAATGTGACAAATCGTTCTTCCCGGATCACATGAGTCGCATGAATCAAGAGCTGCCCTCACCGAAGTCCGCGAAGAACTAGGGTATGGGGAACGCGCGCGAGCCGGAAAACTTTTCTACAACTGGGTCGGAACGTTGCGAGCAAGTAGAAAACGGAAGAGGAAAATTAGCGTGACGTCCGCGCGACGTCATCGGTAAAAAACAATACAAAAATACGATTATGTGTTCGAAGGATCCTCCGCTTTCGTCTATAGTATAGTAATAATTGTAACCTCGCAGACTTTTACGTTGACTATTGGATGACGAAGATTCTTGTGTTCTCCTGTTTTTCTTCCTTTTCTGTGTTTTTTTTTTTCTTTCCCTTTTCACCTGAATTTTTTCCGCCTCACGCGACTTCTTCCTTCACGCTCGCTATCTTTCGCTCCGAGTCGACCTCGCCTTTCCGTAGATTCCACCTTCTCTCGCCTCGTCCAGGAAGTATACACTATACACTCTATTATCCGATATAATCAGTTACACCACGGACGAAGAGGAGACGCTCGCGTTCTCCATCCCTCGCGGATAAACGCACCCGGAGAACGCTCCCTCCTGTTCGCCGCCCGATAATTATAATCACCGTGCTTTTTCGCAAAAGAGACCACCCATACGCATACTCGTCGCATTCTCATCAGTCTCGCGGTATACCAAACTTACGTACCTATCTCTCTCTCTCGAGCACTACGATTGCTTTTTTTTCCAACCCACTGAAATACAGCGCGCAGACGTGTACGAACGAAATTCACCTTCGACCTCCCGTCTGGGAATGCTCGAACCCACGAAATGTCACACCGGGATGACAAACGAATCGATAGAAGAGCCCTTTCCAAAAGCCGTCGAGATGCAGCGCAGTTACGTTGATAATACGAGATACGATGTGGAAATAATCCGAGGAATACTTAGATGCGATCACGCCGGAGAGACACCAAGCGCGGCTGCTCGTTCATTGACTAGAGAAGAACATTTCCGCATTGTCGTGATGAAAATACTTTCTAATAAAGGTAAAACAAACAAAACTATATAAAATTCCTCCGCGACAAGTTTGAGAGTCGCATTGCCGACGAAATCGCACGATTAAAAACGAAGTAGAAGTAAAATCACATAAACGATCACAATCACGTTGAGAAATGTTCGAAACTATGCTGATTAGACCGCGTTTGGTTCCTTCTCTTGCCTGACCGCATCCGCTCATCGATATTTTCACGTTCGCTGTACTTCGTACCTCTCTCTTTCTCTCTCTCTCTCTCTCTTCCATGCAAAAAATTCCCGAAAATATAGATTCTCCAATAATTTTCTTTTCATCGAATTTGTCTTCTCGTTTCTTCCTTTCCTTCTCGTATCAGTCGCAATTTAGCTTTCTCTACATTCTCTCTCTCTCTCTCTCTCTCCCCCTCTTCCTCTCTTTCGCACCTCACACGCTCTCACACGCTCCTTTCACGCTACGACACACGCGCTCTTGAGCTCAGCATCCTTCAATTTTCAGCTCTCCTGCGTTACAAAGGAAACACGTCTCGAAAGTCCCGCCGTTACTATTACGCGTTCATTTTCTGTCTTGTTACGCAAAAATATTCGCCTTGAGCAAAATATTCGGATGTGTCCTACTACATACTAAGAGTATACGTATAGGGTCGACAAACAAAACCGGACGATGCGCCAAAGGTCTCGCGGTAATTGTCGCGCGCAGGAAGGAGAAGCGTTCCTTCCTCGCCGATCTCGCCGGCGGTCACGGTGATAACGCGTGATTTCCTGCCTCTCCAAAAGACCGAAGGATCCCGTCGCATTCCCCGAGGAACGTTTCTCACTCGCTCGACAAGAAAGACGCCGCTTCACACACGTATAATTCGAATTTACTGGACGCCGTTTCTGTATTCTTTTTATGTGCTTTCGTCCATCGGTAGGCCGGTCAGCGTTGTCCGGTCTCTCTCTCTCTCTCTCTCTCTCTAACTACCCTGTACAATCGCTTGAACCGACGAACTCGGCACTTTCTCGAGAGGAGGGAAAACCAAAAGATATGCATTTCTCTTTTGTATAAACAGTGTATGGTATATGCTCCCAATGTGTCTCAGGTCTCACTCTTTCTCCCTTTCTTTCTCCTTCCCTCTTTACGCACGCCGGTGAAACGGCGCATTTCTAACGGCGAATCCTCGGAACTTAGGCAGAAAAGTGTCATCCCGACGTCGGAGGTCTTTCTCGCATGTCATTTCCGCAACCGAGGCATCCATTCGCTGAGCCGTGCCGATGATACGTTCGTATCTCGCGCGACGTCCCGATCACCCCAGGCGATTCGGCGCGCGCACGCGTCGATCGTCTCGTCTGAGGGTGAACATCGCTCGCGGAATCGCCCGGAGATCACGATCATTGGTTCGGTTAATCGAATCGGTTAGTCTTCGATAACGAATATATATAATATATAATTATGCGTGTGTATATATATATTAATATACGAATGTACCGTTACTCATTAGTAGTAATCAATAAACGTCACTATATAATAAATTTGTATACTTCGTTATCTTAACATTAATATATGTATATCGTAATAAATATACAGCAGTGTCAGTGTATGTGTGTGTATACGTTTGCACGTGTGTGTCATGCGTGTGTAAGTGTGTGTATATGTGTGTGACATGCCAACCGAGCGATCGTTCGATTAACCGAACGCGTGTCGCGCGACTTCCTGCCGACCCGTTCGCTCGAGCGGCCGATCATCGAGCCGCGTTGCACATCGGGACTACTGAAGTGACCAAGTTTCTTCCCACCGCAATACGTCGGTCGTCCGTTCTACTTTTCTGCCCACGTCTTGCCGCGTTACGATACCAACCGCTCGAGCAGTGCTCGAGACTGCTCGGGCGTCGAGGCCTGTCTCGCATGAAGGAACCCCATAACTTCAGCCAGTCTTTCTCCGACTCTTCGCGACTTCTCGGAATATCTCTCGGTATATACAGTCCTCGGAGCAACCTTCCTCTCGCGCTCCCCGCGCCGTCGTCGCCGGGAGCCCCAACGCGTCGAATTTCGAGTCGTAGTCACGTCCGGCGCATGCAACGTTACCAATCGATCTCCGTCGCTCTTTCCGTCCAAGAGCCCGACGAAAGCTTAATCTACTTCAGGTCCTCCATAGCGCCGTAATTAGCGAGCGATTTCTTGATCCTGAGTGCGGTCAGCCTGGCGGCCGCGTTGTGGTACCAACATTCCTTCATCACCTTCGACATCACCTGCAAAGCCTGAAACGAGAGAGGACAGGACCGATTAATTGCCGGTCCAATCTTATTAGCATCTGCATGTAAACCCACGCGATTAACTGAGAAATTAATCATCGAATCGATATTCAATTCGCACAGAATTTCTTTTGCTACGCGATTATTTTAGAATATGAACTGTGAACTGACTATAATTATCAGAGGTAAAAAAGTCAGGGTAAATCAGGGACAGGATGTCCCAGTTCTAGAAATATCAATTTATCGAGAGATTTTCTCAATTTTTTCTCAACGTTAAAATGCCAAGATATTAATAGTTTCTGAAATATAAGCGATTGAAAAAGCGGAGCTTTTCGCAAACTAAGCTTCGGTCGACCAAATGGACAACAAAATTATTTTCTCCGATTAATTTCAAATTAATTTTAATTTAACAGAATTTTAATTTAAGACACACACACACAAAGATATTTTGAAAATTGAAAAGTTGCTACAAGTAATGACCCTCGACTTTTTCGCTGAGGAAAAACTAATTCTAAAAATCACATAGAAAATCTCTCGGTAAAATAAAAATTGTCGTAAGAACTGAGACGTCTTATGTCATTTTCCACTCTCGCTCGCTTTATTACTCACTTCGATCGACTGCCATCGATTCGGTATCGACGGCCGCTGTCGATCGGTGCACACGACTTTCCGCATCTCCTCGATAGTCGGATCGGAAGGCACCAAATCGTAAAAGGGCAGCTGATAGTCGTCGTGAATCCCGCCAACGTTGCAACGCCTGGCGATCTCCCAGAGGATCAGGCCGAGCGCGTACACGTCCGCCCTCTTGAACGAGTCGAAGTGGTTCATGTTTATCGTCTCTTCAAGAACCTGAAAGCAGAAAGCGGTTCGTGCGAACTGCCGAGGTAGCTGCCTCGCTGACCGAGTGCAGGCCTGCCGCGAATTCCCCCTCCCCTTCCCCCGTTATCTCGCAACACATAAGACATCACACTTCTAACATTCATCATTTTCCATCCCTGAGTCTTCTTTGTCCGCCAATAAGACAAAATTTTTAGTTAATTATTCCGAGCTAATTACACATCACACGATATCTCGTTTCTCCAAATAGAATAACAATATTTCCTCTTTAGCCGCTAAAAAAAAAACTAGGTCAGTTAATCAAACATCATCGAAAGTCGTCTCGTTATCAGGGCCTACCGTTAAGTTCGATTGATATTTTTGTCAAGAAGAAGTTACGATTCAGACTCGAATGTTCGTTTCCTCCTCGGCGCGTCGAGAACGGGATATTCGGACTCTCGTTTCTCTCACATCCTAGACCGGTGGAATCCGTTTCGCATGGCGATGATAATTACCTCGGGCGCCATGTATCTCTTCGTGCCGACTCTGTTGTTGAGCTGAATGTCGACGGTATCTGTGATTACGTCGTGCCTGACGGCCAGTCCGAGGTCGCCTATGGCGCAGGTACCATTAGTCTTCACGAGAATATTTTTTGACTTCAGGTCCCGGTGAGCAATAGCCGGCTTGCCTTGCGTGCCGACTATTTCCATGTGAAGATGCGCCAAGCCGGTGGCGATCGACAAGGCCATCCTTATCATACCGTTCGTATCGACGGTCGATCTGTTGAGGTAATCGAAGAGCGAACCCTTCTCGTGATAATCCGTTATCAGCCACAGCTGCGTCCACGTGCCGTTATCTGCGAAACCGTATCGATCAGTCCGCGATTTTGTTCCAGCGACTTGACTCTGATCGCGGGGTATTTCTCTCTCTCTCTCTCTCTCTCTATCTCTCTTTCTCGCAGAGAAGCGATACGAGAATAAGATTGTGAAATATGTAACGGGGAACCGATGAGACACCAGTCGATATTTTTCGTGTATCCCGAGCGAATTGTCTCTGTCCATTAGAGATAAAGAGTGTATACTTCCAAAGATAAAACGTTCTCTCAATATTATCGCAATGTTCTTCATAGCTGTTCTCCGACAGGTGATAATTCGCCTCTCGAGAACGAGCTACTACTTTTGATAGAGCGTATCGTATTCTTTTAATTCTGTTAAATCTTGAAAAATCTATATCCCGGTGATTTTCAGAGTTGACGGAATTTTTTCGAACTCAAGTGGTACGCGGGGGGCGGCAGATGCGTTCGACACGTCGCGTACCACCCGCGTCCTCGTTTCTGTTGATTGACTTGTATGTAAGGTTGCAACACTTTTTTTTAAATAAGTTTCGTAAATTCCGTACGCAATAGGAAATATATTTCCTAAGAATGACTAAGAAACAAGTTCTATTACGGACACGGGATACGTTCCGAAACTTATCAGAAAAAGTATTGCAACCTTTTGTAACTGTATTGCAAATCCAAGTGTCATTTTAACTGAGGCTTTCCTTGCATATTTCTTGCTGCTTTAAATCACGTTAATAACATGATTGAATGCGTTAACTTATAATTTAACGCGATTAGATGTTTTATATGACATAATCTAAAACAGCAAGAAACATGTAAAGAAACTTCAGTCAAATATATCATTTTTAGACGTTTATACGTATAAAAATAACACATTTAGATTTGCAATGTAATCATACAAAAAAAAAGAAAGAAACAAACAGGCGCGTAATAAATAAATACGCGCTGTACACAGTAAAAAAATATTTTATACTTATATTAAAATCGGTCCTTGTTACAATTTTTGTGTTAAATTGTTAACATGCCCGTATGTTAATTTAACATATTGTGTTTATGTTATCTCAACATTTTGTGTTGTCGGTATTCAATGTGTGTAAGTATTAAAATAATACGTTTTATAGTTCAGTGTCGATTAACGTATTAATTTTGTGTTAATTATTGGCATAATATTTGTGTTATTTGTCAACATATTCACTTTGTATTAAATCGACAGAAAAATTGGAGTGAACCGTATGGGACATGTGAAACGTGTTAGATTTCATACGAAATTTCCCACTGGGTACCTTTGTTGTCGGCAGCGATGAAGCCTAAGATATTGTCGTGCCTCAGCATCACCGTCTGATAGATCTCGGCCTCGCGGAACCAGGATCTTTCCTCCCGTGAGCTGAAGATCTTCACGGCGACGTTCTCGCCGCGCCAACGACCGCGCCAAACCTCGCCGAAGCGACCCTTCCCGATGGTCTCCACCAGCTGGATTTGGCGCGCTATGCTCCGTTGTACCAGAAGCGGCAGGCCTACTTGAGAGAGGATGGGCATTGGAGAAGAACGCAAATTTCAGTATGATTGAAGATGACTCACGTCGCGCGTTAGTGGATCAAGTCCGACCGTGAGACGAATAAATTAAATAACGTGTGCGAACACGCGCGCGCGCGCGTCCGCTCGCGAGACGTGGCGCAAAAAAAGAACGTTATTATCGAAGGCGCGCGATGATTTATCGTGAATTTCGCGAGCTACGTCATTCGAGCAATCTCGCCGGACTCCAATGTGGCGATGACTCGCGCGCGTTACGTGTTACGGCGAATTACGTCTATGAGGCGATTATGGTAAACGTATTTGTAGATACACGTGTGCAAACAAAGACAGACACGCGCGTGTCGCGTAATGATAATTTAAAAGTCCGACGTGCTCGGCAAGATTTCGACGGTGGGAAGCGGTGAGCGGGAAAGAATTCGCGCGCGAAAATCCCTCCCGCCATTCTCCCTGATTCATCCCTGATTCATCATAAAACACGGAACAAAGATTCGTAATTATCGCTCGATTGTGGGCGACCCGATATACACACAGAAAAATACATCCTGCATTCAAGTAGATGTCACATTGTTTCGAGTATTTTATATGTTCATATATCCGCAAATCATAAGTTGATCATAAGTGTTAAACTTATTCAAAATGTATTCTGACTTTGTTATTATTATTTTCAGACTATTATCAAGGAGATATTTTTTGTTGAAGATAACCACTACTTAAGGATATATTGCCCATAAATCAAAATAATTAAAACAATTATCTACAATTCATTTAAAAATGGCACTAAAAATTTGATAGTAACTCAGAGCCGGAATCAAAAGTTATTCCACTGTAAAGGAGGTTATAAGGTGAAATGAGTTTGATAAGAATTCGATAAAGCCAGCACTGCGTACATATTGAAATATTATCTAACTCATTGCTTATTCAATTAGAAAAGGTCGATAATTCGAGAACTGAAATATTTATAATTAAAGTTGGTATTTTTTATAATACTTCATAATTTATAGTAATATATAGTATATTCGAAATATATATATATATGTGTGTCTATCTCAACTTCGTTTCAAATTAATAATGAAATAAATATATAGAAACCTAATTTTGTTTAATAAATATTAAATTTGAGCAGCTTCCTTTTGAGACGCCACTGAAAACACTGCACTAGTGGGCAATGCGTCCTTAAAAAGAAGAAAAGTGAACTGAGTAATTGCTTCTCACGGCAGTAAAATGATATTTTTCTCTGTGTAGGCACACACGATCGCGACGTTGTCTTCGCGAGAAAGAGAACGGACGCCTCCGCCGGAAGCCTTCGGCGCGGTACTTCGGCACCGTCGTTTTTCGACATCGTCGTTCTACGTTCAATCTACTTTTCGAGCGGCCGGCTTTAATTTAGTTCGACCTACCCGAGCCGCTGCCGCTCGTAGTCATCTCCAGCATGTCCCTGATAGTGACGCCGTCCAAGATCGGCCGGTCCGGCGCGTCATGCGAGTCGTCCGGGTAATGCCTGTCCCGCTTCTTCCTTCTGCTGCGCCGTATATGATAGATGATCATTACGATCACGCTCAGGCCGACTATCGGGCCCGCTATCGCCACGGCGGTTACCCAGTTGATCTGCGACTTGCCGCCACCGCCCGATGACACTTTTCAGCAATGAGGATCGGTTCGGTTATTAATCGCGCGTCTAGAACGAGGTGATCGACGCGGGGAAACGCTCATTTCGACCATTCGACGCGTCGGCGGCCCGGCGACGAGGTAATCCGCGCCTCTCGTCGGAGATATTCAACGAGGATACGCTTCCGCGTCGCCTCGCGGGTCACTCGCAAATTACAAGTCGCAAAGATTCTCCCGTTACGCAACGCGATGAACGGGCGTAGGATCCGCGAGGCTCCTCGTCTATTTTCAACGATGATCGGGCCGGCGTTTCTCACGATTTCGGTGCACTGTGCCGGTGTATCTCCCGCCGGATTCACGTTTCCGTGAATCCGCACAGTGCACGGAAAAGAAAAGCCGGCTGCGGGAGCGAGAAGAGCTCTCGGTGGGTGTGCGCCGCGGATCGGTCGAAATCAACATCGCCCGTGTTCAGCATTCGAAAGCGAGCAAGCGCGAGCGGACCTCCAAGAAGAGAGAGCCTGGGAGCTGTAGGCGTCAAGCGAGAAGCGGAAACAAGGCACGAAAGAGCAAGGCAACACGCAACAAACTGGCAAGATGAGGAAAACACGAAGCGAGCACGAGGCGTGGTTAGAGGCGATCAAACAGATACATGTGTGTGCGTTGCGATTAATAAGGAGGCGCTCTTAATGTAAGAAGGACAAGACTATGGTTTCGGTGGACGATTGGTTCCGTCTCTCGTGCAAATCGTCCCGCTGATCGCCAGTTGATCGACAGCCTCGAGTCTCCGGTGCAGGCAGCCGTGCCGTGGCCGAAGGCAAACTTTCCGAGAGTCCCTCTGGAGAAATCGATCGATCGGAGCGCGTCGACGTGCGGGCCTCGTCGATGACTTGTCGCTGAATGCGACTTGGAATTCGAATCTCAGCAGCTGGACTTACCGCTCGGACCACTGCGAATTTTTCGGGCGGGCTAAGCTCGGCGAGCTTCTCGAGTCGTAGCTCCGCGATTTTTACGTAATGTTGGTCGGTATTAATGAAGCCAATCGCGAAAACAGCCGTTTGCCGGGCTGGTTTATCTTCCCTCATGGCCGGAAGCGAGAGGAACGGTTCCTCCAATCCTCCAATCCTTTGCTCCGCACGTAACTCAAGCTCGTGATGGATCTCGTTACGAATTGATATACGCGAGTTTCATCGACGAGTCTCGCCGAGACGTCCACGGCACGTCGAGGCGCGCAGGATTGCACTTACCTGCTCGGTAGCGCCGTCGAGGAATGCCATGGCGTGTTTTCTCCCTCTCCCGGGATGCACAGGTGCTGTTAATCGGTCAGTCGACGAAAAACCACACAAACGTTACGTGTTAAAGCGGCGCCCGAGGGCGCCGGCCGATATCGAATCGCCGTGGAAGCTCGGCCGAAGAAACCGAACGATCGTCTGGTTTATCTCGACTCACTGGTCGATCCCGATAATTCGCGAATGAAACCCTCACGAGAAAAGCCGATGGGAAAGGAAAAAGAAAAAGACGCGAGGAATGTCCAGATTAATGCAGCGAATCTCGTATGAAAAATGCCAAGGCCATTACGTGCGATGCGAGTCGCTCCTTACGGCGGACGAAAAGACAACTTTGGACCTGGAGAGGAGGTTGCTTCTGCGTCGAAATTACGCCGCGAGAGGCGGGTGTATTAAGTGATCGGTCCCGCGCACGACGGGAGGGTCGAGACCGGTAAAACTCGGACGACCAAAGCAAACAGCCGCGGCTCATCGCGGGATTAAACGGCCGCGGAATTCAATCGGCGGCGGCAAACGCGGGACCGCGTGTTCGGTGGAGATGTGGGCAGGACGAATCCCCGCGATGTAATTGGATATTGATCCCCGTGAAGACTTGAATGAGATGGCAGGCAGCACACGGCGTGAGGAACCGATGAATGATCGCACACGTGCCCGTGACGATGATGAACACCCCAACAGAGCAATCCGAGAATAACGCGGCGACATGTGCACCTTGCTGATCAAATCTTGTTGTCATTGTCGAGCGAGCTTCGCAGAAGCACGCCCGGCTTAAGTAACGATTAACCGTCTCGTCGCGTGATGCTTCGTCAGTTTTTGCGTGCCACCGATCATAACGGCTCGTAGAATTATTATAATTATCAATCTTCCTCCAGCTACGAGAAACGTTGAGTATGCGTTGGTTCCTAGAAAAATATCTCTATGGGTATCTTCTAAATTTTCCCCTCTTATTACTTTTTTTCTATCAATTTTTTTTTTCGTTGAAATTAAAAATACTTTCAAGAGGATCCTAGTGTCGTCCTGTTTTACCGTAAATTTGACGGTTGAATCGTTTGGCACTGCCGGAGCGGAAAGAAATAGTGAACAAAAGATCTAAATTCGAACGTAAAGTATGCAACCGTTGGGCTCTGAATGATTGATTTTGAAGTTCATCATACAGAAACTAATTTTTAGTACACTAAAATCATAATTTCGAGTAAAAACTTTTCTTTAAAAAACCCCGTGAAAGATTTAAAATATTCAAATATTCACACCTTCAACATTGAATATACATACATATATTTATAAATATTTGACGTTTAAAGACTAATCATTCGTATTTAAAGATCGAAACAAGTATTTCTTTTTACGTTTTGATACAGTTTGCAGAGACATTTGAATACAATTTTTTATCCAATCGAACTTCGCTGAATTTCGTCGACAAAAGCGCGCACTCGGACGCGACGATTTCGCGAGCTCGGTAATGCGACGCGTACCGATATCGACGGCATTGTAACTAATGGCTTAATGCGAAAGAGTCTTCCGCGTGCCGTCGATAAATCCTCGTCCGGGGCTGATTAAACCGCCACGTGAACGTCGAATTCCACGAGCGGGCGGCGACGCGCGCTTGTACGTCTCGTGCCAATATGAAATCGCCGCTGAACCCGATAACCGGCCGTCCTCGCGGATTTATTGGGGCACGTATAATCGATGAATATCGCTCGCCAGCCCGTCGTCCAATCATCCCTTCGTCCAAATCGCGTTGTGTACGCCTCGTTACTTTATATTCCCGCGGCCGGTCCGTTCCATTCGCGCCGGCAAATTGCACCCTC